GGGGAATTAACCAAAGAATTTATATGCATAAATGCATTGACACAGAAAATAGTGTGGTGAAGGCCTGGGGCGGGCGTGGGTGTGGGGTAAAAGGGGTCAATGGGGGGAACAAGGGGACATCTGTAATTTTTCAACAATAGATAATTATTTAAAAAATTTAAAAAATTTAAAAGACATAATAAATTTTTTTAACTTTTACTAAATTAGTTAAAGAGAAGTGTTTTTGCAAACTTCTTATGCTCACCTCTTCCTTTGTCTTTTTTGATATCACCCGGAGCCAGTCTCCAATCATGCTCAGGACAGCAGCGAAGTAAGCGAGTCCTACAAGGATCCAAAACCACACGACAGGCTTATAGAAGTCCAGATATTCAATATCTGATCCACCTGTGAGAAAGAAAGTAGGACTAAATAACTTCCAAATCATAAACATCAACAATACAGACATTTCCTAAAATTACCAAGGGAGTTTTGGCTTGCAAATCATAGCAACCTTCTTGTCAATCGATCCACGTTATTTCCTTCATATGGAATTCTTCCTTGGCCCCCACATAATTCTTCTCTATTTTTCAAAAACCAGTTAAATAAGTTTTTCTTAATGAGGCAACTTCATTAACCCTCCAGGTCATAATGTGTTTTTTCTTGTCCCACGTTTCTTTTTTTACTTATTACAGTGTGTCTTATAATTAAGTCTAGCACTTTACTCCAAGTTCTCTCTCCACCTTTGTTTTGACAAGTAGAAGACAGAGACACCACTTTCTTGGTAGGCATGTAACTGAGTAAATTTACCTTATTGCCAACCAATCATACTAACCAATCAATACATGCTAACCCATCAGTTCAATGCCAACCTGCACAGAGAGTGGTTCTTAGTTTAAAAACCATCAATACAACAGATTGGTAACAAATGCCAGAGACATAAACAGTGATTTGCAGGTGGATACAGCCATTCTCTGGTCTCTGACTTTTTGGAAGACACAGAAGGAAGGATTTTTTTCCCCCCTGGAAGGGGAAGGGTGATAAGACAGAAAAAGAGTCTCCCATGACAACGATAAACACAGAGAAAAGGTTAGCCCGGCCGGGCGTGGCTCAGCGGTTGAGCATCGACCTAGGATCCAGGAGATCAGGGTTCGATTCCCAGGTTGTGGGCTAGGCAGCCGATCAGTGACTCTCTCATCATTGATGTTTCTATCTCTCTCTCTCCCTCCTTTCCCCTCTCTGAAATCAATAAAGATATGTTAAAAAAGAAAAAAAAAGAGGAAAGGTTAGGTGGAAATGTGTGGCACAGTCAAAGGACTTTTAGGAGTGGCTAAAGCTATATATGGATGAGCGCCAGGGGGTAGACGGGTGGAAGAGAAGAATCTAGAGAAAGTAAGTTGTGTCGGGCTATAAGGATTGGCTCCTGGCGCGGTGGGGAGCAGGGAAAAGCGGACAGACAGCTAAGTCCTCCATTCCTGTTTGACCACATGCACAGAGAGTCCTAGTGGCAGAAAGGAAGGACCGACAGGGAAGCCCATTAGAAGCTTTCGTCGTAGACAGGCCAAGAAATTGTTGTGCCTGAGTTGGGGCTGGAATGGAAGAAAGAGGCATTTCAGAGGCAGAATCACTAGGCGTTCACGACCAGCTGGTCAGTGCGATAAGTGAAAGGAAGGCCTTAGAATGACCAGAGACCCTCACGGGGGACGTGGTGCTAGCAACTGAACAGGGATCACAGGGGAAGGAAGAGTGACTGAAAAAAGAGAGAAGTAATTTAAACTGGGACGTGACAGGATTGTGCTTGAGGTACAAAACAGGTGGAGACGCCCAGTAGGATCCTTAAACACAGATTTATTGTTAACAGGGCAGAGCAGGAGATAACGATTTTAGACTGGGATGTTTAAATAGGGCCATGGATGTTCTCAGTTCTCAAAATTCAATTCATACAATTGTAAGAACAGCTAATAAGTAGCCTCGATACATTAAAAATCAAATATAATGCCCTGGCCAGTGTGGTCCAGTTGGTTGGAGTGTCATCCCATGCACCAAAGGGTCAAGGGTTTGATTTCAGGGGAGGGCACATGCCCAGGTTGTGGGTTCAATCCCCGGTATGAGAGACAACTGATCGATATTTCTCTCACATAGATGTTTCTCTCTCTCTCTCTCTCTCTCTCTCTCTCTCTTTCCTTCCTTCTCTCTCCAAAAGTCAATAAAAACATATCCTCGGGAGAGGATTTAAAAAAAAAATCAAGTACAAAATTTTGACTGTAACGTTCCTCTATATAAATTAGACTTTGAGTTGCCTGCAATGACGTTTTCAAGTATTAAAGGGTCAGAGTAAAAAGAGACTATTTTTCTATCAGGCAAATAATGTTCACTTTGGCTTTCATTTCAGACAAGAAGCTTTAAGAATAGTTTCAAAGTAAAGAATGTTACCTTCAAAATATTGTGAAAACGTTTTTACCTTGTGCAATGTTTTTTAAAAAGCATCATTTCTGGAAAGGATTATGGAGGTTAAATGCATCTCATGATGGCTGAGACTTGGCCCGTGAGGGCTGCAGCTCTACAGATTCACAGAAGTGACTGAAGAAATGTGTGTGGAAACTTGTTATACGATAGGCTCACTAGCGAGTTCTATTTTTCAAATGTTTCCATTTCAATAAAACCAAAATGACATTTTTTCCGAGCACTTTCTCTTTCAAAACCAGAAAATCTTCATCCAAATAGTTGTGACTCACTTAACACTTAAATTCACCAAGATGTTGATTTTAGAAGTTAGTTCAAGCCCAATATGACTTTTTATAAGTCTTCTTTCTTATAAACAGGATGTCACAGTTTGAAAAGAGTGAATTAGCTTAATCACTAAAAGGTTTATATTTGGGTAAAATGTTTACCCCACCAGTTTCAGTGGGTTCTAAGCCACGGTTGAGGGGGCCGGAGGGCAATGTTTTCCCATTCTTAATTGCCACTCTTAAGATGAAACACCGGCAGTCCAAAGATCTAGGAAAAGCGAATGTATGTGGGAGTATTGTCAAACAACTCACAAATCCTGGTCACTTTCTGATGGCTAAGATTTATGAATTAAGTTCCTCCTCAATCAATTCACTTGACCCAAGAATCTTACCCAAATTAAATGATCTGTAGATAAGTTGCTAAAAAAGAGCTATTGGATTTGTTTTTAAATTAGAAAACATCCAGAAAATGTCTTGGCTGTTACAAGCATTCATTTTCATCTGGCTACATTCAGGAAACCTGTCCCTGGGTCGCTTGCTTGGTAAGGACGCAGGGCCATTTCTCTGTCCTGGGTTCCCTTCCTGCATGCCCCCTGCCCCCGGGTCCCCCTGCCACTCCATCACTTCTCCTCTCTCCACAGGCTCCTGAGACGCGGCCTGCGGAGCGCTACAGCCCACTGTCCGCTCTTGGGTTCCTCACCCACTTGGCAGGAACAGTTACCTCACTGCTGTTTTCTTTTTTGCCACCAAAAATATGCACACAGATCCTTTCCATTTTAAGAGCTTTTGGCTAATCATTATAGGAGAGCAGACAGATGGCAATAAAAATAGCAAAGACGGGTGGAAGTACACAGGTTTCAGGAATCTTATAAACTTTTCCAAGTAGTGAAAATAACTCCTCTCCCTGACTCTCACATGTGACGGCCTCTTTTAAAAGGTGCCGTTGCTCTCTGGACGTCTTCTGGTGCTTCGATAACGAAATCAGCCAGAGCCTAATCAAATCTAGCAGGTTAAACTACAGGCACCAAAATGCAGCCCGGGGAAGGCTCGGGCTGGCGTTCATGCTCGGAACTCAATCTCTCCCCAGATGGGCTTCCTAAAAATTGGAGAGGAGCTGCATTCCCACTCGTGAAATTTCCACTAACTTAGGGCAGGGCGCTTAGGAAGGCCATTTGTCCATAGATTTCAGCTGTAGCTCCAGCTGCCCTGATCAGTCATTAAGCTAATAATTCAATCACCATCACTCTCCCAGGCTGTTCAGAACTCAGCAGTGAAAGGTGCGTTTGTGTTGACTCCTTGAAATCGCAACAGTTAAGTGTCCCCACTTTTCAATAGAGAAGGCATCTCAGTAGCTAAAATGACATGTCAGGTCTCACGGGAAAGGGGGCAGCAGAGCTGGGTTCAAACGCAGGCCTGCCTGCTCCACGTCACAGGCTTTCTTCACCGACCTGGCCGCCCACGGTCCCATCATGTATCCGCCAGCCGGGCTGGCCCGCCCCGAGCCGCAGCACCCAGTGGGGCTGGAAACGCTAAGCAATGAAACAAGCTGCGCCTCTTCTCTTCAAGGTCTTACCTAGAAACCAGGGGAGTCTAAAGGCAAGTATTATTTTATCAGGAGCCTCCTTACCTTGTTCCTGCCCTCATTCCAGCAGGTTCTAGCAGCTGGCCCTATTCTTCCCTAAAGACCTTGCGTATACAATGCCCTCTCCCCTTAAATTTAATTTCCTTTCCCTGTGATGCTCCTGAATCACAGAATACTTATAAAGAAAAAAAAATGGTGATGGAAGGACACCTGACTTGGGGTGGTGAACACACGATACAGTGTATTACAGAGTTGTACACCTGAAACTTATATAATTTTATTAAGCAATGTCACCCCAATATATTCAATAAAAATTAAAAAAATAAGATCTATTCTAGGAATCATCTAGCCACTCTGGGCTAAGTTATCGACTCTATGGCCCCTCCTCTGGATTTCTAAAATGATATATGTATTATAAAATAGAGATACAGACATATAACTTTGTTCTAAAGAAAATGGGGACCATTTCTTACACTGGTCTATCAAATATTAATGTCGATTTTCTTGCCTGTTTGACTTTATTTTTGTTAATCAAAGCCATCCTGCCTTCATACGAAGTGAGAAAAGAAACGTTCTGCTTTAGTCTATTTTTTTTCCTTTTTTATAGTAAAGCAATTTAACTGAATGGAATGTTCTCCCCGTGCTTCAGGGACTAAGAGGCTCTTTCAGAAATGTTACAAATACTGTTTTCCTTTTTTACAAATGGAAATATGACTTCAATATTAAACAATAGCTCACCCACTAAACCCAGGTTCTCATAAGCGACTGAGTCAGAAAAACAGAGATCAAAAAAGGTAAACCTCTCTAGCCTCTGACCCTATATTTTGGGAATTTCAATTTCAGCATTCAAGACGCTGTCCGTTTCCTGTCAGGCACGTGGTCGAAAACTGTCATTAGTATGTCTCGTGATCACGAGGAAAGGAAGCTCAGCACATTGTCTCACTCACTCATCCTTTATGGGGGTGGAAATCTACAGTATATGAGAAGTACACAATTGTTATCCCTAGAAATTACCGGTAAGTCTCAATATAGAGCAATTTGGATTTTTTTTGTCAAATTGAGTACAATTCACGGCCAATCTCCCTAAGCCACAGCTA